TACAACTATAGAACTGGATAACATACATGAGATAGTTGTCAACGAGCATAACAATGATGTAATTCGAGGGAACTTGCTTTACTGTTCTATGTGACAAACTCAATAGCGTCTGCCACGTTTGTTTACTAGCCAACTGTAATTATTGAGTAGGAGCATGCATATTGGGGTATTTAGATATGTATTGTCAGTGCGGAGAAGAACAGGAGACGGGCGCAAAGGGAGTTGAGAGTGGGCATTCTGCAAGCCGGGACTGTTGACTGGCATAGGTTAGTGCGTGTCGAGCTGTACCTGTTCTAGGGACAAAGCCCACGCGCACTTTCTCGAGTCGCATCGTTGAAAATCCTGCACAAAAGCAGCTTGCTGTACGTTCATATTACTAATCACTGTTTCTAAGCGATTACTTATCATCGCGACGATCGTCCTTCTGTGTGGTAATTTGCGCTTTGTTGTCATTCATCGAAAAGCCTGATCAAAACTTTTCATCATGTGCTGCGCCGTGTTAGTCGACAGTGTCGACGAGGTGAAGTTATAGGGCTAGTGAGGCACGCACGCATACACTGTAGATGGAAATGTAATTATTAACATCAGATAATGAAAAGTTTTATGTGATGTAGTTTTATAACAGTTCAACGTTGGCACCGCAACCTCAATTGCATATTACGGAAACTATATATACATTACATGATACAATTAATTATTATATACATAAAACTGGATTTAAGAACTGTTACAGCCACAACTGCAGATGGGTCCTCTTCGTTCCATAGCCGTTTTAGATTCAACATTGCCAAGGAGCAGTGCTGCATTCGCTGCACCAGCTTGTAGCCGCTGTGTTTGCATGGTTTGTGATCTGATCGCAATGGCTGTGTCTGATGTTGCAAGTGATTGCACTGCCTGTAATGCTGCAGTAATTGGATAGTGGGTAACGCCGTGTGATTACATTATGCCTAATGTGTGTTGTTGCACGGCAGGTAACCAGAAGTGTACAAAATATAGATTCTACATATATTATTATATGTGTTAGGAGATGATATCTATATTATACACTCCTGGCGTGATAACTGTCTTGATGTCACCCGCACACAATGACTGTCTTGAGTTTTTCACTGCGCCGTAACGCCGTCTTTGATTGCGCGCAGGCCTCACGGAGAAAGTACGAGGTGAAGGTTATGCCTCGCCGCGCTGGCTTTCACGATTCGTGTTCGACGACGACGGTCCTGGGCAGGTGGCGTCGTCGTCACGCTCACGTCACAGGTGATGGCGCGGACAGGCGCGAGAGCACGGCCGTCGTCGCGGGTGCGGCAAAGGCGGTGGTGGAGTGCAGCTTGACGGTCAGCGCAACGTACCTCCACCTTCCAGCACCCTCCCACCCGTCCAACAGCTTCTCTCCGGTCTCGAGGCGAACCGTGGGGCGATACATTTGTCAGTATGCGGACCGGAACCGGATGTATTCAGCCTTGTAGTGGGGGAAAGCATGCTCCAGCACGCCCTGCCCCCCTGGCTGTTGGACCGATTTTGCTTCATGATTTTTAAACAATACACTTGCACACAAGCCTCACTGTGCGCACGTGTTATTTTTGGCATCCATAGGGATGAAATAGATTATAAAAAAAAACATAAAATCGGTTCACTGCAGTTGTTGAGATGAAAAATCGGAGAACGGGCAATGCTAAGCTGAAGTGTATACGATATCAATCGTCAACCACCGAAAACTGCTGAGATCTCGCCTCTTTATCACGCCTGGTTCCATGGTGCATCGCCGCAGTCTTCCTCCTCTGCGGTCGCTGCGGGGCTGGGAAAGCCTACCTAGCGCCAGCATTGCTGTTGCCCGAGTCGACTCAGAACAAATCGTGGGTGTGATGGCAGGACGGCACTGCAGGGACGCAGGTGCGGTTTTGGCACGGCGTCCTAACAGCCTCACTAGCTTAGCGCAAGCACGTGCTGGGAGGAACCGCGTGCAGCACTCGCCTGCTGCAGGCGATTCATATTGACTTGCCTCTCCTCCCAGAATTGCAATATGAAAGATGCTCCCATATTCAACGACAGCCGTACGAGACAACAGTATGCACAATGCGCAT